CATGGTTGGTTGGCAAAACTATAACCACCTTCCCCAGCATTGACCGACATAAACCCTCCAACCAGCACTGGTGTTTAGTGGCTTTCTGAAACTTTAAACGCCACTTAACATTGGTGATCAGTGGCTGGATGGAACTATAAAACCCCCTTAGTATTGGCAGTTAATGTCTGGCATTATAACCCCCCTCGCCCAGCGGTGCTGCTTCCCTTTTTAAGTGCTTTTACTTGTTTAAAACTCCTACCTAGCTCCTCCCCTATGTAACGTTAAGGAGGGGACTGTAGATTTAATATTTACCATAATGAATCCTGTCTTTACTGTGCTGGAAGATCTCATAGGCTTATAAACCAAAAGGATTAAAAATATTTCATGGCATTGTATGTTAATAAGAGGAAACTTACTCTGTCTGCACTTGTCCCTCTGAAATTGCTTAGAACAGCTTGCAGTGCTGTGTATAATTCCTCTACATAGAAACAACTGGAAAGGTAAGAAAATGTAAACATCGTTTTTAGGTATGCTGTGTTAATTAGAACACATAACAAAGAGTTATGTGCAAGGTGCAAGGTTGGCTTAACTTGCAGCCCTCTAATAAAAAAAATAAAAAAAAACACAAAATAATTGGAAAAAATAAACAATTTAAGGAAAAAAGTTAAAACATCTTTACGGCGGACCCTGCCTTCCAGCCACTTCCTAGAGCTGCCAGTGACTTTACCTTCGTATTAGGTTAGGGGATAGGATAGGTTTGAGGGTTAAAGTTAGTGTTTATTATAGGGTTTTTTTTGTAGGTAAAGTGTTAGGGGTCAGGTTAAGCTTTAGGGTTAAGGAATGTGTTGCAGGTTGTGAGTAAAGGGTTCATTTTAAAGTGTATCCTGTTCCTGTTTTGCTTACAGTGCACTACAAACCTAAGTTTTCTTTTCTGAGAGTTTACTTTAGAACTAGCTTCAGATGTTCATGTTGCAGTAAAGCGTGATAAAACTAAATTGTACTGCAATGTACAGTCATATGTAAACTGTGGTGTATTCCATTGCTGTTCATTTTGGATGGTTTCCCATCACACATTCCTAACCAGGGTTGCCGACCCCCATGACTTTATCTTACTGGCAAAATGTAGAATTATTCAACAGAAACTGTGACTATACACTGCAACCTATACCACAGTCCTTGTCACAAGTGACAGTCTCACAGACACACATAAACCACAGGACAAAGGATCACTGTTAATAAAATATTAGAGGGAGAGATAGGAATGGGGGAGGCAGAGGGAGAGAGAGGGGAGAAAGGGGGGAGGGGGGAGATTGAGTAAGGGAAAAACTCAGAGGGGAAAAAGGGAGATGGGTGAGAGGGGAGGGAGAGATGGAGAAGAAGGAGTTGAAAGGAGAGGGAGCGGGTGAAAAGGGAGGGAGAGAAAGGAGAGGGGAATGGAGATGGAGAGAGAGACGGGGGGAGAGAGGAGGATGTGGAAGGGGGACGTTTCCAGTTTACAGAATGCTCACTCACCAGTTATGGCCCTATTTCCCTGATGGTCAGGCGACCCACATAGGTCCACAGAAGATTTTGGCATCATACTTAAAAATTTCAGCCATTACTGTAACTAACCGGTTTGATATATATTGAAAATCGATACCAGAACTTGGAGAGGTAAATAATGGACTTAGGATACCTATATAAAAACTGAAATGCAAATGCGTTATAACCAGGTTAAACTCACAAGTTTTGACTCAAAAAGTTCCCTAATAAAGGGGAAAGTTTTCAAAAGTGGTTACTTTCCAAACACTCAAGCTTTTTGTTTTTTTCTCCCCAGCTTTAAATGGGGCATGTAGTGACACTCACTTTACAATAGGTTTTAATAATAACTGTAGATAACACAGAGTCCTTTATTCTGTAATATTTTACTGTGAAGCTTAATGAAATATTATTGTTATTATTATATTTTTATATATTTTGTCATTTTGGATTACAAAACTATATTGTAACTTTTTACAAAAACTTGGTAATAGTACTGTCTTCATTTATACATTTGATAAATAAGATACTTTTTAGAAATACAGACAGACATAAAAATCAATACAGGCCGGGAAACATTCCACCAGGGTCCAAACCAGACAACAGACTGAACCTTACCTAATCCACCCAAGGGTAGATTTACAGTATCCTTGACTTTTGCATGTGTGGACTCCACATCAAACATTTGTTATGATGTTTCTGTACTATTACCTGCAATGCTGACGTTATCCCAAGCAACAGAAGATATATTTAGCATTAACTCACAAATGCTGAAATCTCTACAATATTTACCATGTTTTGACCACATATTCAGCGTGCCTTAGGCACACTCATACTAGAGAAAGACAATATCTGTTTTGTCATTTCTGTTAAACATTACAGATTCCTGCAAACTATGACCTGTGTTCAATGTCTGAAATCTGAGCTTTAATACTTCTTTTAATCATCGCAGGCTATTTCAAGTCCGTGTTGTTCTACTCATACCAATAAGATGCAATCCAACAATAAGCTTAAGACTTACACCTTGGTAAGATCAGTTTTATTATGTTTTAAAACTAAATACAGTTTGTGTTTGTTTGTTTATTTAGTGATTTGGAAACCTATCTTTTACGAGCTAATGTTTGACTGCTTTTGCTCCTTTATTTACCAGAATATTTGTTTGCTTTTTTCACCATAAGTCATAACACACAGTACCTGATTATTTATTTTTTACCTACAGCACAGGAAAATACCATTTTATTCAGTTAAAGCTCCACTGCGGGGCAGAAAGCTGTTGTAGCTCTTTCCATGCACCATTATATTTGGCTTCATTTATTAAACTATGGGAGACAACTTTTTCAGGCAGCAGTCTGTCCCCAGAGCTACCATTCAGATTCAGTCTTTAATTCTCCTACGTTAATTCTCCAGAGCAAGTTTAAGTCTAACATGGTAGTCAATTTACATGTGCATATTTGGGCCAATGTGAACATCATCTGCTCTGCTCAGACAAGAATCAATCTATATTAGGTTTCCCTATGGGGTACTATCAAGTTGCTGGAAGTGCTTGCAACCACACACAGAGTAATTCCAATTTGTTGGAGGACCTCTAAGGGGCAATTGCTTATCTTTCCCTTTTCTGGGGAAGGAGAGTACAAGCTGTGCATGTGCCACTGTTGTGTAGCTGAAGAAACTTTTACTGAACATGTATTAAGAAAGAATTAAACTTTTCTAAATGCAGGGGAGTCCTGTTGTTTTTTTCTGCATGTTCATTTGAAGTTTAATTGGATAAGCAGTAGTGCCTGGAACACATGTATATTAACTGATAAGGATGGTGCCATCATATTGAGCTTATTCAAGGTAAAGACCCACATGGTAAAACAACTTGGACAAGTAAACCAATTTCCATGCATGCATTGGAGTCCTGCAACATTGATAATTTTCCTGCTCTTGATGCATGTTCAGTTGAAGTTTATTCAACTAAACATTTTTTTTGCAACACATATATATTTACTAAAAGGTATGGTGCCATCATACTGACCTTATCAAGAACTGCATGATTCTGCAACATGGACATGTATCCCAACTTGTTCCAACTTGTTGGAGGACCTCTATGGGGCAATTGCTGATCATTCCTTTTTCTGAGGAAGGAGAGTACTAACTGTGCAAGGGCCACTGTTCTGTAGCAGAAGAAACTTTTATTGAAAATGCATTAAGAAAGAAAAAAACAACAACTTTTTATGTGCATTATTTATGTTAGCAGTCATACTGTATTATCTTGTTTGTGAATGAATATTTATAATTATACTTCTTCTTGTGCTCAGTTTCAGGACAAGACACAAAAGGATGTCCAGCTTTTACCAAAACTGCTATCTTCAGAGACTATTAAAAATGCAAGAAACAGCCAATCAAAATATGAAAACATTCAAGTGTTCTACAAAGACAATATCACTAAAATAGTAATAAAGCGTCCAGAGAAAAAAAATGCACTAAGTATGGAGGTAATCCAAAACTGGCCTGTTTTGCTTATATGTTGCTGCTGTCATGTTTTTCCTTTTCGATTTTTTATTTATTTATTTATTTCTTTTTTGCAGTCCGTGCTGCACTTATTAAATAAATAAAAAACTAAAGAACTAATACTTTTTCCTTAAAGGAAAACTGTACCTTAGGTGCAAGTTGTCCTTTAAGGTAAGTCCCCACCCCCTTGAATGCAGTGCACATTGTCCAATACTTACCTATATCCCTGTTTCAGAGATCTTCACTGTGTGGCCCTACCTGGAGCTGGGCCTTCTTTCTTCTGAAAGCATCTCTGCTGGCTCTTTATAATCCTGCAAATGCATGCCACCCTCTTCATTCCTATGTGGAGAGCAGTAATCTGCAGGACTGCTGGAGGCCACCATAAGTATGGCTCCTTTATAGGATTGAATGGGGCCATAGCATGCATGCACAGGATATAGAGGGCTCAGTGGGGATGCTTTCCAAGGAAAGGCATAGTGAAGATCACTGAAAAGGGGACAAAAATAAGTATTATACCAGGTGGGCAGCACTCATAAAGGTGAGCAGCGGGGAAGCTTGACATTCTGTTGCCCGGGGCAAAGGAGAAGTTCTCCATCCACACACCCAGTAGCACCCCTCCTAAAGTGGCACCCAGGGGCACATGCCAAACCCACTCAGCCAAAAAAACCCTCAGCCAAAAAAAAACCTGTTGGTGGGGTCATGTTGTAAAGGAAAAATTTTACCAAACAACTTGCACTAAACAACACCCTTTCAAAAGAAGTTAGTAATGGGCATTTGTAAGAATCTGAATTTCCTGTCTTAAGTTGTTATATTAGTGCAGCTTTACCTTTCATGGATATGTGTGTGGTTATTCACTTTTTTTTTTTCCTGTCAGAGCAGAAATTACAACTCTTAGCGTGTCTGCAAAACCCCAGTGGAAGCCAACCTGTCTCCTGTTGGAGTTCAGGTCTAACTCTTTTACTGCTTAAGGTTGTGGGAGGGGAGGAACTTATGAAATACCAAATAATTTTCTTACATATATACACTGTCTGGCCAAAAAAAGAGTCTCCACCGGGATTTCGGGCAGTGCTTTGATCCAGGGTTGCTTCAGTTGGTCAGGTCTAGGGTCAGCAACATTATGTCCCCAAAAAATTATGTCGACTGCCTACCTGAATATACTGAATGACCAAGTTTTTCCATCAATGGATTTTTTCTTCCCTGATGGCACGGGCATATTCAAAGATGACTGTGCCGGGATTCATCAGGCTCAAATTGTGAAAGAGTGGTTCAGGAAGCATAAGACTTAATTTTTACACATGGATTGGCCACCACAGAGTCCCGACCTTAACCCCACTGAGAATCTTTGGGATGTGCTGGAGAATACTTTACACAGTGGTCCGACTCTCCCATCATCACTACAAGATCTTGGTGAAAAAATAATGCAACTCTGGATGGAAATAAATGTTGTAACATTGCATAAGCTTATCAAAATGATGCCACAACAAAATACATGCTGCAATCAAAGCTGAAGGCAGTCCAACAAAATATTAGAATGTGACCTTTTTTTTTGGACAGGCAGTGTTTTTCTAAGAATCTGTTGGTAAGTGATAGTTGTGTGAGTGTCAAAATCAAAAATCAAGCAATCTCTGAAAGGTAAGGTCCAACATCAGGCTATTAGAAATGCCTGCTGGTGCATGGTTCTTTTTAAATTGCAGTGGCAGAGTTATATTGAATGAATGCCAGTCAAAATAAGAAACTGCAAAACAAATATGGGATACACAATTAGAACTGCATTCTGGAGTTATAGATTAAACAATATTTTCCAGGTTATGCAGACTGAAGTAAACCTAAATATTTCACTACAAATTCCTTAACTTGCCTTGCCTTACAAAACCTGCAACTATTAAAATGGACCTTTACCCCCTTGCACCAAAAATCACATTAGCATGCAGCTCTGCATGCTGATATAAAATCATCTTACATTCATTAGTTTAACAAACTTGTTTTTCATTTACTGACAAATAGAGTTCATCTACTTCCTGGTCCACTTCTGGCACAAATCATGTAATGTGCCAAAGCGTTGCATCTTGGGAAGGTTTAAATCAGCAGAGCATAGCTGGGAAATCTCTTCAGTAATCTCAGAAGATCTCAGGGAAAGGCATTTCCCACCCCTGAGATGATGTGCATGGTCGCATGTCCTAGTCACATGTGCCAGAGTTTCAGGATGTAAAGGGAGATCTAGTAATCTGCCCTTAGCAAAAATGACCACTGTCGGAAGACTGGGGAAGAAAAGAGAAATAAGGTATGCAAAGAATACGAAGCCAGCAATTATGTAGAAGTATGTGTTTGTAGATTGTCATTACTAAACATTTCTTGTTATTTTAAGGATATGGGTAAAGTTCCTCTTTAAGGGGTACAGACAGAAAAATGTGCACGAGTGTATTATCAGTAATTTCATGAAGTGCCTTTTATCCCATCATAATTTTTTGTGTTTATCATTAATATGCAGTAAGTGTGCAGGGGGAATTTTTTTTTTTTATCAAGGGAATGCCCAAAATACCTGATATACCACTATTGTGAACATGCTTCTTGATCTCAGTATAGCAGTTGATTGTCATACTAATGGACTGAAAATAAAATGTTCGTAACATGCAGTTCTATTATATTTGGCCATCTTTGCTGCTGTGCAACTTTTGGTGCTCAACAACATAGTTCTTGTGATTAAGTTTCACATGTCAAGAGATATCAATGTTTTCTTACTATATTGATCAAAAACTGAAATCTTTTGATGTGTAAAAGTAAATGGCACAAAATAAAATGCTTTCTATGTGAATATTGTAAAGGTTTCTTTTTATTGCAGACATATAAAGAAATTGCTAATGCCCTTGAAGAATCTGGAAAAGATGATTCTGTTTTCACTGTGTTAACAGGTACTGACAGTTACTTTGTAATTGACCTTAGGTCTAGTTTGGTGACATATGCTTTTAGCAGCATTGTATCTTCTCTGACAAGTGTAGAACACCTGTTTCAGTTATACTGTATATGTGATTTCTGATTCTAAAGCATAGTTGCACTTTCTTTAGCCCAAATGTCCTTCCCAAGTCAAGCCAGTAATGTTTTCAATAGCTTGGTGTATCTCTGATGCTATTAAATATAATCCTTCATCAGATGGGTCTGTCCTCAGCCACTGCAGCCTGCGCTCCGCTTCTGCAAAATTCTGAATACCATCATGAAAACACCCGTGTTGCTTCCAAAATACATTTCTAATATTTTAACCAAAAAAAGTGAGCTGGTGAAGCAGTCCTTAGGATCCTGAGGGTTAGCAAAGCAGAGCAATGTCTTCCTTAGGTCTAGTTTGGTGACATATGCTTTTAGCAGCATTGTATCTTCTCTGACAAGTGTAGAACACCTGTTTCAGTTATACTGTATATGTGATTTCTGATTCTAAAGCATAGTTGCACTTTCTTTAGCCCAAATGTCCTTCCCAAGTCAAGCCAGTAATGTTTTCAATAGCTTGGTGTATCTCTGATGCTATTAAATATAATCCTTCATCAGATGGGTCTGTCCTCAGCCACTGCAGCCTGCGCTCCGCTTCTGCAAAATTCTGAATACCATCATGAAAACACCCGTGTTGCTTCCAAAATACATTTCTAATATTTTAACCAAAAAAAGTGAGCTGGTGAAGCAGTCCTTAGGATCCTGAGGGTTAGCAAAGCAGAGCATGGTTACCCCGTGGTTCACTGCCTCATTTCTGTTCTGTTTTTCCTGCATTTCTAAAACAACTGGGAAATGCCGGAGTTCCACAATGATTCTTGTAAATTGGCCTGACTGGATTTTGGTGCACAGAAACTGATGTCTACCAGACATCCAACTCAACAGCAGACTAGCTGAAATATTTGACATAACATAACCTAAACCCAGTTAAACTGTTGCTATTAGAAAGACTTTGAAAGATGCCAATAATGCCTGAAAACCTGCTAATAATGCCTAAAATCTGACAAATGTTCCTGAGATAAAATAGTACTGCATTGAAGAGTGAGTCAAAGGTCATCCACAGTGAAGTAAAACCCTAGCCAATAGCTATACAAAGCATCTAGTAAAGTTCTTACTATTGCAGCTTAAAGTTCTACAACTAGTTCCTGACTACATACATAGCGTTTTATTTCAGAAACATGTAAGTACAAAAGTTCTGCCCCTTTAAACGGCAACCATCAGTTTAAAGGAGAATTATGGAGAGAGAGAAATACACCCATCCCCATAATTGGAGCCGATGTGTGACACTGAAGTTGTCACATATCGGCTCTATAGATCGAGCACTGAGCTATCACAAACCGCTGATCGCTCAGTTCCTAATCTTCCTGTAGAGAGCACCCCGCAAAGATTCCTGCCTCCCTCTCTATTCCTCCAGTGCTCACTGGAGGGATGGAGGGGGTGAGGGCGGGCTTAGCGGGCTCTGTCTCTAGAGACGCAGAGCCTACTGTCAATCAGGTGGCGGGGTGGATCCCGACAATCAGTAATTTTCCATTCACATCTAAGGACTGGTACACTGCAATATATTATATTTGTTTGGGGGGTAAGATATCTTTTACACTTGACAACCTTGGCTAGACCCCAGCGGAGATGTGGGTCTGGAAGCCCTAGCTTTAGAGCTCTATTGATATATTCTTGATAAGATGCCAAAGCTATTCTATAACATCTTCTGTTTGCTTCACTTCTTCTTGAACACTGTATTTGCACAAGGAACAAAGCCAATTGTTCTTTTTGATGAAGCATGTTTTATTAATATGAATCTCCCCACATTCTATGTAACCATTAATTTTTCTCTCTCTCTCCTGTGTAGAGACTATAGCAAAAGTCTGAATCTGATGTTCTGTCTCCTCTAATAAAACTTCTGAAAATGAAAAAGGTTAGGGCAGTCGCAGAGCACAGAAAGCAAATAAGCAATGCAAATGTTGCATAGATGCATTTCTGCAATAAGAATTACCATCAAAGCCAGTGTCATGCTATATAGGAGATGTATATTAGAGCATGTAACAAAGCCCTTCTGATTTATTACCGACAGAACAATGCCATGTTGCCAGAGGCAAATTAAAGTTTTGCCCCCAAATCATGCCATGTTATAAAGCTAGAATAAAGTCATTTTACCAGAGTGATGCCATGTTACAGAAACAGTGGAGCTGATTTGCTAAAGGTGTAAAGGTCGTTCACTAAGGCCTGGTTCACACCTAAGAGTTTTTGTCAGGCCTAAGCAAAGTGGAACTTTTCTTTGTAAACTGTAAGTTCACTTTACATACCTAGTCATGTGCTAGAAAAAGAAAAAAAATATTTTTACTAGTTATTGATTTGTTGATTAAAGGGAACACGGCTTAATTTAAGTTACTAAGCTCATTAAACATCTGTAAACAGCCTCTATTCCTTTAAGAAAAGCAAACCCAGAGTGATGCATTGCGGAGAATTGAAGCAAGAACCAATCAACTCTAGCCCACCTCACCACCATTGTTTCCATACATAAGTGCTATCTTACTGCTCTGTATTATAGTGTAAAAACCCACTTGCCAATGGCACCCATGTTTTCATTTGCCTGATTGACCATCTACCCCCCACTTGCTACTCTCTAAATGAAACCCTCCTGTAAATCACAATGTGAACCTTCCTCACAACCCAGGCTTCTAAATGAATGCTATAACTTGCCGATCAGCAGCCATTACTAACTTAAAGTAGAACTGAAACCAAAACATTTTGGATAGATTAAGGGAGGGTATAACCTCAATTCGCATTTTTTTGCCATCTGTTTCTCATTGGGGAGATTTCCCTTTACTTCCTGTCCGACCGCAAAAACAGGAAGTGAAAGGAACTCCAAAGAAAGGGACATTTCTGGCGGTCAATAGGGTCACCAGAACTAGTGTCCTCATTAGAAAATTTCCCATCTATTCCTGTTCCAATGTCAACCCAAAATTTGGGATTTTTTTTAACACTTTCATTGATAAAGGTCACCAGGACATATAGAGAGGGTGAATCTCCTTAACGGGGACACATACAGCAAGAAAAATTTGACCGGTGTCCTAATCCCTATCCACTCTATCCAAAACTAAAAAAAGTTACACTTTAATGGGTCACACCAGAACGCACTGTTAGAGAGAATTTAGCAGCTTTAAATTCTAGCTCCTTTCATGTTAGAAATGGAATACAAGATGCCAGGGCAGCGAGGCGGTAGTAAGGGGGTTACTGCAGCAGGTACCCCTCCAGAATTCTATCAATTTTCAGGAGATTTATTTTTTTAAGCATTTCTACTCCACCTTAGTTGTTATTTTAAATATTAACACACTGTATAGCAGATATGCCATGCATTTTCATCTGTACATCAGCCCCATTGGAGTTATTTTAAAATATAACTTTTATTGCTTCCTATTTAAACATAGGAAAAGTCCCCCTTCATATAATATTATGCACTAGTCTTCATTTTGAAGGAAGGCTGTGATCTCTTTTTGGCAATTATCTTTGCTTCCTATTCCTTTTGTATCAAGCTTCCATTTCCTAATCCCTATTATTTCTCATTCCCGTTCAATATTCTCTCCATTGCTTTTGCTGGCTTCCTCCAAGTAATATTAAACATCCCTATGACCCACTCCCAACATGCTTTGCCATTAGTATGGCTTCATCAAGGGTTTTGCAACATTGAGCAGCAGAAATGAAATGTGCCAGTGCTCCCAGTGCAAACTGAAAACAAACAGTGACTCCACCAACATTGTTATCTGTGGGCAAGTACTTTGTAGGGAGTAAAACTAACCCTATAGTTATGACTGCAAATTCCATTTTGATTTGAAGATAATCCTGACGATGTTTATTAGTAGGTTTTAGTATGTCAACAATTGTTAAACCAAGTAAATGTTTTCCTTTGTGATGAATTCCTGTATTCATTTTCCTTATGCACACAGTTTGGTTTAGTTGGTTTTAAAACTGATTTTCTATGTTATGTCTGTGCAGGATATGGTGATTACTTTAGCAGTGGCAATGATTTAAATAATGTCCTTAGAAGAGTCACAGGAAACCTGGATGACATGGTAAAAGAATCAATCAGTACTGTCAGGTATTCATATTTATTTTCCTTTTTCCCACAGTTCTAACAGTACAGAGTATTTGTTTTATCTGTATGGTAAAGCGCTGTGCAAGACACTTATCTAATAAGCAAAGAGCAATATAAAAAGCAGGAACTCCTTGGGATCAGGAAACAAAACTGTGAAAACTGAAATCTGATTTGTTTCTATAGGCAACTGTGCATTTTTAAAAATTACTTATTTATATTGTGCTGACGCTTTTCTGCTGAACCTTATTTTGTAAAGCTTTGCGCAAACTGTTGGTGCTGTATGAATTGCGTACAGTAATAATAATAATTACAGCACACAAGTCCCTGTTCCACCAAGCAGCTCCAAATCTAATGATTCTATCACATTTAAACACACACATTTTTGAAGTAGATTCCAATAAACCTACCAGTATGTTTTTGATTTGCTGGAGTATACCCACACAGATCTAAATAGAACATAAAACCGCCATGCTGATACTGTCCTTAGTGGAAATCAAACCCAGCCAGCACTGAGAGCTCCAGGGCAGACCCTATGCACTCCATTGCTTTTAGTACTATATTACTAAATTAGTCATTCATAGTGATTTAGGTTTCATTGTTGTTTAGATTAATGTGGGTATACAACTACGCCCACATTGTTTCAAACATAGTAACATATATTCCATTAGACATACCAAGCTTTAAATATAAAACTAGACCCCAAAGGATCTTGCATGTACCTCCTGTTACCTTTCTATATGTTCTAGGAGTTGCAAAACCAAGGAAATTAAAGGGAATGTGTAGTGGTTCGGGACGTATTTATTAATATAATAATGACAGGAATCACAGAAAATAGTTATATAATATATTTATTTGTTTTAGTTAGGCAATCATTAAATAATGCATTTCAATATTTTGTAGCATTTTATTTACAGAGATCAGTAGCTCAAGCTGCAATTTAAACATAAAACGGAATGGCTCATATCAGTGGTATGGCTTTAAAGTGGTATGGCTTTAAAAATGACCCAGCCCCATCTCTATAAAAGTCAGTTCCCCCAGCATCCTTTTGTCACTGTGTGTTGGAATTAGCGAGGGAAAGCTGACAGCTTTGTGAGATGAAGACAGTTTGTGCCACTTCTGCACAGCTAATGGTGTGCTAACACAGAGTTATACAGGGATTCTGGTATCTAAATCTAAACAAATAGGTTAAAAATAAAAAAAACACCCTGCAGGTCTGGTATGAATTTGAAAGGGGACCCCATGCAAACCCCCACACCCCCCAAAAAATGACATGGGGCCCCCAAAAAAATCATACCATGCCCTTCAGGTCTGATATGGATTTTAATAGGGAACTC